CATCCGGGCCCCAGGCAAAAAGGTATCTTTTCGGGCCCCCTTGGGGGCCCAGCGGGCCCCTACGGGGCCCAACGGCCCCCCCCCAGGAGATAACTTAGGCCCTACTTGTCAGAATGTGACTGAATGTCAGTGAATGTTAAGACGAAAGCTCCTCCGGCCACATTAAAGAGTGGATTTTAAAGGTCTTATATGAGTTCTTTTTTTGAAAACCTACGTCGTATTACTATTTTAACGAAAAAAAAAGGTGTTTGCCCCTGGGAGGTAGGCAATTTCGGGCCCCTCGGGGCACTTTTCCGACCGGGCCCCTAGACCCCCAGTCCGTGGCTGCAGGCCATGCAGCTCTTGATTCAAGTGGACCTTGTAGGGGTGATATCCGCTCAACTTCATTATTGTCTGCACGCCGTAGCGTCTAGCCATGACATTTTCTGCGATACTACGTTGCCCTGGTAGAACCGAAATACCAAACAAATGAGTGAAACCCACTCACAGACACGCGCAATAAACAACAACATGCCCCCCCCCCCACCCCACCCCCGTGTGCGCCTAACAGTAGTAAATAAGAGCAGTACCCCCCCCCCCCCAACACACAAACTCAAAACACGATCAAACCCGTCGAATAATCTACTCACCTAAATGAGGATTGTGATGAATTTGAGCTTCAACAAAGGCCACAACAGCTTCATCACCCACTACACGTGGGTTCACAACACGTTGAGCGACAAAGCGACCGTCGTGGATCTGCAGATTGACGAAGTTCTGACGAAACGTGCCACGGGAAGGGAGGCGCCGGAGTGGGTACCGAAGTTGGTACATGCGACGAGCGCGAAGAGCACGATGGGGAATGCGGTCCGCCTCCACGTAAACAAGAAGCATGTCCATGCGCTCGTGGAGCGGGAACGCACCGGGCGGGTCAGGCTGACCTGGCTGATCCATGATGCACCGGCTACGAACTGACCTCGGCTAATCATCGCTCGACCCACGATAGCTCGGTCACCTGACCGCCAACCTGCCCCCGCTCGCTCTCTATAGAGAGAGGGAAGAAGCGCCGGAACACACCGGACGCGCTCACGCTGCAAAAGTCGTCACCATCTCGTCACTATGTGGTCACCCGGCGAGCGTCAGGTGTGTTCCGGCGCTTCTTCCCTCTCTCTATATTGAGATGTGAGTGGCCGAGTGGCTTCGAGCGTCAGACCGGCGTCGCGCCGTGGGTCTGGATCAGGCGTTCGAGTCCCACTGGCGGCGATTGCTTTTCTTCGTCGTCTCTCGAGGGTGACGATACTGCGACGAGGGTGTAACAGGGGAGTGACGGATAGGGGACCATTTGGCGACCGAAGGGGCGACCAGGAGGTGACCAGGAGGTGACCAGGAGGTGACGGACCAGGGGGCGGCCACATAACGACCGTGCCCAGGTCGCAATCTCGTCACCCTCTCGTCACTGTATCGTTCGATTGCGGTCGCTTGACATTCGCCAGGTCGTCACGGCGTCCTCACGCGCAAGAGACGACGGTGCGACGGGATGGCAATACGCACCTCCACTCGGTCAGCGCCTGATGGGTATGTAGTTCCGGATGGAGCCGTGTTGCATAGTACAAAAGTGCGCGGCGTGAATCAGCCACAGCCACCTGGCATGGATACTTCCCCTAACACCGCATACTTTGGTATTGTTACACATTTATCCCGGACGTTTTACAACGTGACAGTGATTGGTGCTGAGACACAGGGGACAATTCCTGATTGTACGACTACTCCTCTTGATATTTTTGAAACCTTATTCCAATTGCTTGATTTGAACCGAATACTCCTAACTTGGTCTCTCCTGACATGGAGAACATAAAAAACGTTAACAATTCTTGTTAACCAGAAAGGGACCCTTAGTTAAGAAAATTTTCTATTTTATAGTATCGAGCAATATTTTTTGAAGATAGAAGTTTGCGCCGCGTCATGACGCCCTCTCACTTGTACAATCTGCTTTTGGACGCCATGTAGGCATTTCATGCCTGCACTGTAAAATGCTTGCAAACTATATTCTTTGCAACGTTGCAAAGAATTTGTGAGCATTGTATTGCAAAGAATTAGTTCGGATTGCAAAGAAGTTCTTTGCAAGCTGGCAGAATCCTTGCAAACAATGTGTTTGCATTTGCAAAGAAATAGTTTGCAAGCTTGCGAAGAACTAGTTTGTATTACGATGCTTGAAAATTCTTTGCAAGCTGCAAAGAAAATAGTTTGCAATACGAACCTATTCTTTGCAAGCATTTTGCAGTGTGCTCGCTGTATTGGTCTTGTTCTCGATGTGTCTTTTTGCGTGATATTTTTTTGAATTAACCAGTTAATCATTACTTTTATAATTGAACACAATTTTTGGCATGAGCGCTGGGCAGCGCGAGCGGGGGGCTGACTACTCAGAGAGCAAGGTGTCCATTGTTGCTCTGGTACCCGGGCGTGGTGTGGAGCTGCTCAACAGGTGGTGTTGAACCATGACGCCCTCCCCCCCGCGCGCCCCAACTGTCTGGAGCGTGCGTGCGGCTTGAAAAACTTCTAGGCCGAAAAGTACTGTACCCACAGGTTGACAATACCGGAACAGAGGATGACACACTGTCCAGAGTGCTGTCCCCAGAAATAATTGAGAACACAGTATCCTTTATTCAGCACAGGTTATAGGTACGCTCTTAGTGTATTGCTAATTTAATTTAGACTTACATACTGGTTCTTTATATTTTGTGCGTGTCCAACAGTTACTTCAACCCAGGGCAGACTACAAATATCTTTGGGAGCTGTCACTGTTGTTTTGGGGGGCGACTCTACAGGGATTCAAATTTCGACCTCCTATGGCCCAAACGTCGGCTCGGGGGACGGGGTCTTGTTCGTGGGCATGTCAGCAAGCAGTACGCGCAATAAAAATGTCAAAAATGTGAACCAAACTTTTGTGGGGCCTAAGTACGCCGTGACGGAGGTCAGTCGCTCTGTAGGGCAAACGACGTGTCGCCCGGAGTTCGGCGACACACCGTTGGAAAGAGCACACCCTAGAGAACACTTGTGGTAAATTTTACTTACCTGGCCTCGCGCGTCGCCACCCGAGCGCCGCCCGAGCCCGACATCGCAGAACGTTCGGGTTTGCAGCAAAAATCATCATTTTTTATACTATTTCAAATTTCAAACCGTTCAAAGAAATCCGTGAGATGGACCCCGATTTTGGCCCTACCTAGGGCTGGCACACTAAAATAAATTAAATATTTTACACTTTGCGGTGCACAATATATTGCACAGACTGAATATTTTGCACAAGTGCAAAATCCAATTTGCACAAGGCAATTTAGCACCTAAAGTGCAAAAACATGCACCTAAAGTGCAAAAACATGCAAAATGAATTTTGCATTCTGCACGTTTTTGATTAAACACACTTTTGCACTTTTGTATATAAACTGATTCCCAAATTATGCAAAATGTTCATCACAATTTGCAACCTGCACTGTTGCCACATCGGCAAGCACGGTTGACAAGTCGTGCAGGCTCACATATTACTGCTGGGCAGGCACAAAATCCACTGCGGCAGGTAGACCTAGAGCGCGTGGAAAAGGGGGGGGGGCGGGACGACACTAAACGCACAAGTTACTCCCACGACGAATCTCTGTTGGGGGCTGTTTAACCAACTTGAGAAGGGAAAAAATCGTTAGGACCTACCCCAAAGTCGACCCCTACGAACTCAGTTGTACCACCCTGAAGGTTGTTCGACGAGCTGTTTCGGCTGTAGGGCATATGGGCCGCAAAAATCCAAGATGGCGGAGGACGTTTTCTGGCAGGTCTCAGTTAATCTCTATTTATTTGATATCTGAGTGAAAATTTTCGTTGGGGATTTCACCGGATTTGTGCTACAGGCTACCGGAGCATTTCCAATACCGTTGTGGAGACAATCTGGAGACATCGACGTACGATAGCTGTAGTAAAGCGAAAACGAGATCTGCCGCCGCAGCAGGCTGGGATCGACCCACCGCCCGTCCGCCTACCGAGCGCAGCGGGGCCGTGGACCACTCGACACTTGAAACCTATAAACACGGAGTTCATGGAGTCTCCGTATAAACCTGTAGTTCCAGGCAGCTCCGTACAGACACGTAGTTCAGCGGGTCCCCGTACAGCGTCGTAAGTGCTTGAAACTTCACTTCTGAGATATAGCGCTTTAAAGTTTTCGATTTACATTGCGCCTTATGGGCGGCTGGATATTTATACCAGAATAACTTTTGAACTAATTGACATATCGAAATGCGGTTCTCGCTGATCGATAGCCCTTGGTTGTGTATGTACAATGTAATGTACATCAAAACTCAGAGTTGTTTAGCTCTCGTAGAAAATAGTATATTTTGTACTTCGATGTTAATTGCCAAGGACGCGCACTGGCTTTAATGGACTTCGAACGCGGACTCTGACAGACGGAGTTGGGACAATGGTGATTCATGAGAGAAGGGCGCCCTTCTCTCATGCGTTATTCTAGCTTCGCATATAACGTGCGAAGGTGACCTTCGCAATGATGAGTCTCCGCAGAACTCAAGATAATTATCTTAAGAGTGTTTGTGGCGGATGGCCAATGAGCACTCACAAGGAAAAACAGGCGGACTGTAAAAAGTTAGAGTCTACTACGGAACGATCCTCTGCGTAACCGTAGATGCCGCTTTTAGACACTGCACCTAGGGTACAGAGCGCCGAGTGCAGTGTCGCTGTAGCACCGGAAAGCCCAGGTTTTACACGGCACAGTGTACGAAGTGTACGAACTGTGTAGACAGTTTTGTCCGGTTTTGCCTGTACGGAGGCCCTGTACATTGCTCTCCGTGCCAAATTTTAACCATTGAGACTACAGCAATGCTATTAGAATAACAGACGTTGCTGGAAAATTATTGGCGGTGTAATTTTTCGTGTCATAATTTTTTCACTGCGGCAGCCACCCAATCGTTGCAGTGGGACAGGAAAAACTTCCTCCGCCACTTGTCAATGATAACACATACAGTCTTATCAAGACAAACCGATGTAACAGCCTGGTCAGGATACATAAGGGAGCGAGTTTAGTTTTCGTCGTCTTAAAGTCAACAGTCACCACGGAGTAAGAGTCCCTGCAATCCGAAAGACAATGTTTCGACTTTGCACACTAGTGCTCTGTCTCTGCGTGGCGTACAATGCAGCACAGGTAAGTTGAAACGGTTAAAACCAGCTTACTGCGAAACGTGCCCTCCATCGCTTTTCCGCAGGGCGGGCGCGCGCGGCGCCGCGGGCGGAAAGGCGTCCCGAGGGTCACTTGGTGGTGGGGCGGAGGGCCTTGTTCTCAACGCTCCCGACGCGACACCGTTTGAGATATCACAAAACGGATTGCAGCTCCTGGTGCAGCTACTCAAGGGCTACATATTTCGCGAATAAAACGCAGGTCGAAATTTTTACGTCTTTTTGGCGTGGATAGCGCCGTTAGTAGGACCCGTCGTTTATTACCTACGGTTATAATTAGATATGAAATATTCATAAATATCTTCAACCTCAATATCATTTGAAACAATGGAGAATATTATTGAATACATAAATTTGATTAGATCATATGTCGTGGGTTTTATCAGAATGGTCGTGCTCCTATTTCTTGGGGTGTTCATTTGATGCCTAAAAACTGTCTGACAGTCTGTCACGTTATCAACACAGGCCCGCAGCGTTGCATCTGCAGGTTCAGACATGGTCGCCGCAGTGGAGGCGCGTTACGAGGCCGTCAAGAAGAACGCCACACAGCTCGTTGAATCCTTGAATGCAGCAGTGACGGCTGGCAAGCTGACTTTAGAACAGATCCAGTACGTCAGATTCTATCTTCTGCTCGACGAGCAACAATCCGATCTCATCAATTCACAACTTCTCGTCGCTGTTGGGAACTGCTGGATGTTTATTGACGTGCCAGGCGGCCTGGATGCGTGTCAGATCGGAGCGGCTGGCTCAGTGATGATGGCAGTCGCGCAACTCGAGTCCACGTTCAAAGTCCATCAGGCCAGCGCTTTAGGGCTCCTTGGCAACTAAAGTAAGCGTCAAAATTGTACAATTTTCACACCCTGCAGGCAGCTAACTGATAAATATTGAATCGCGTCAAAAACTTATTTTATTGTTGAACTGTTTTGTAAGCATATTTACAAGTTTGTAATAAAAATCATCAGTGCCATACGGTTTACTTTTTTTAGCCTGCCATTCTGTTTTCATAAAGCTATCTAACAGACTTATGTAAACGACCCGGTGTACATGTGTGTCTGAGATGCCGATGAGCTGATACTTGCGCTTAGCCCTAGGAGCAGAAAAGTATCTATAGGCAATCGTATAAGTATCGAATTCCGATAAAAATATATCTTGACGTTATCACATCTGATATACTTTCGCTGGTGCTGGTGATTAAATATTAAATAACGCCGTTAAACCACTGGGTTTCAGAGAAACCCCTCAGAAAAATGAGCATTTCAAGCCGTTCCCCCGAGAGACGGGATCTTAGCTGGGTCGTTATGAGGCCGGCGTGGGAGAAGAGCCTCTCACACGGCACGGAAGTGGCGGTTATGGAGAGTAAGCGGCGTGCTACCTCACACACGTGAGGGTACTCGCCCTTCAAGGTTTGCCACGATTTCAGGTGGTTTGGGTTGGTCTTGCGGTCCACGGGTGGGCGGTTCAGGTATTGCCGCAATTCAATTGGCATTCCTCCCGCTCGATCACGATCAGCAGCGGCATTCGACTGGCGAACTTTAGAATCAATGGCAGACCACGGGTCGTCAGCGGTCGTCAGCGTTGTCACCGGAACCAGATGATTCATTCGTTGCGGTAGTCTCCTCCTCTTCCTCCTGAGCCTGAGCCGCTTCATAAGCGCGGCGCTCATTGTCTCCTGACTTGGCAATCACTTCCGATACCAGACGACCTGAAATTAATAAAGAACTATGAATATTTCGTCACTCATTGCGCTTAACCGTAATGCCACCATCCGCCCCGCCGACTCAACATGCAATTAAAAAAAAGTAACTCACCCACTTCGCGCTTGCCTGACTTAACTGCTGCTGGAGTTGAAAAGGGAACTTTCTTGAATCTTGGGTCAAGGAGAGTAGCCGCCGCATAAAGAGGGTTTTATTTTTCCATATTGTCAAATTTGTCGTCTAGTTGTCCAATGAGGGTATCCTTGACATGCTGTCCAATTATAGTAGAAGATTGAAATGAAGAGGCCCTCTAAAAAAGAAAAGAAAAAAATTAATTTAAAACTATGCCTACTGACTTGAGGCATTTGAAAAAAAGTATACTAGTATACTTACAGTTTTAAGGTAGGCAGTCAATGGGATAATCTTACTTAAAGACACACTCTTTTCAGTACAAACTTCCGCCGTGACAACGGCCAGGAGCTTTAGGAGAGCCGCAACTTCCGTCAACGCTTCTAGCTCGTCATTGGACAGCATTGAGGGTGCTGTCCTCTTCGATGACTTTTCCCTTCGCACCTTGAATAATACTCTGCTGACACAGTCAGAGAGTTGAAGAAAGCGGCTGATCATGTCAA